GAGAAGTTTTGTCAAATTTTGAAATTTCTACAATAATTTGTGAAATAAACAAATAGTTTTCAAATCTAGAACATTATATGAAAACATGAACATTTCCTTAAATTCGAAAAATTCATTAATATATTATATACTCGAAAATATTTTTAAATCCAGAATTTTTCTAAAATTTGCAAAAGAATATATATTCAGGAATATTTTTTGAAATTCAAAAAACTATGTTTCAAAATATTTGTGGAACTTTTTTGTTTCTAACTTTGACATCATAAAAAAATGCAGAAGAGAAAATTGCTTGGCAGGATCCAGCATCCAATGTGCCAGCCGAGGGGAGCACCCAATGAAATTGCTTGACTACTTGACGCGACGAGTGTCGACTACACTTCGCCAAGAGACATTCAAGTTGTCGCTCATTGTAACATATTGATGGTCAATCACATAGGGCGTCCTGACTAGGACTGTGCATGTAAGCGGTATATATTGTAGTGGTATTTTTATATACTATAGCGAGGCAAAGTTTGTGTTATCTTGGTTACCAGTTTTCTCAAAAAGAAAAGCATACATAGTAGAAAATGATAGAACATCATAAATTATGAAATGTGTATTTAAATAAATTGTGAACGTTGTTATGAAAAATAAACAACATGAATTGTGTGTGAACATTTTTATAAAAAATTGAAATTTGAGTTCTTTTAGATGCGATATTTTCTAAAATGCCTGTGACCATTTCAAAAAAATCAGTTAAGAAAATTAGATATTTTTAGAATTAACATTTTCCAATATTTGAACATGTTAAAAAAATTGAATTCCTTTTGATGTTTTGATTTTTTAAGGGAAGATATTTCACAAGATCTGCCTTTTTGAGATTACGAACGTGGTTTGAAAAGAAAATAATAATCTTAAAATAGAAAAGGAAGAAAGGAAATCAAAAACTGAAAATAAAACCGGTAAAGGAAAGAATAGATTTTTTTGGACCGGATCCTTCTAGAATGTTACTAAAACCTGGAAACCTAGATTTGGAACCATTGTGAAGCCGCCTTTCCTATACAACTATTGCAAGCTAATTGGGCTGACCCACCCGAGCGCTCAATTTGTGCGAAAGGTGGACATTACATCGCAGTGAAGGACAAATAGGATCTCAAGATCCACCAATCATGACGATACGTTCATAGTAGGCAAGTGCTCGCCCAGGGGCGAGTAAGGTGAGGCGGCACAGCTTCATCGATGTATATTGGACAATTTTTTGTGGTTTCTTAGCTTTCTTTCTTTACGTCTTTCCCCAATGTTTTCGATTTTATTTTCCCCATTCCTTTTGGGTTTCCCATTTTATTATTTTCAATTTCTTGAATGCATTTGAAACTATTTTTTAGGACACAACGAAAATTTCTCAAGAATTTGAGCATTTTTGTAAAATTAAAAATCCACATAGAGCGTTTTTTTAAATACACATTGAAAAATTTTCAAATACACAATGGGCATTTTCAAATACAAGTTGAATATATCTTAAATGCACGTCAAATAATTTTCAATCGCACGGGTAACATTTTGTAAATATGGTCAATATCTTCTTGCAAATAAAAGAGATACACATTTCAAAAAATATTATAAGGTAAATATTTTTGAAATACATGCTGATCATTTTTCAAATACAGAAATACACATCAAAGTTTCTCAAATACACATTGAATATTTGGTGAGTGCATGTCAAGGATTTTCCAAATATACGATAAATATCATTTAAATTTTTATAATATGTTTTCAAATACATGTTGGTTTGTTTAAATGTAGATTAGATTTTTTATATTTTTAAATACGCAATAAAAATTATATTCACACCAGTTGTATTTTAAAATATTGATTGGACTTTTCTTAAATACAAAATAGACGATTAAGTTTTTTAAAGAGACATTGAATATTTTTTAGATACATGATAAACCTTTTAAAATACTAAAAAGATAAATAGTTGACTCAGAGTGAGATTTTTTTAATGCAGATCAAACTTTATTTATAAATTATTGAAATAAAATGTTGTTTGCTAACTGGTACAAGATGTTCCAATAATGTATGTTTGGTACCTGGTACAAGACCAATTCAAACAGACTCATTCAACACCCACAAAATATGTGTTTCCCAAGACCTTGTGAATATCAGTTAAGAGCATGAAGTAATTTCTAAACCATTAAATTAAAAATCCAACCACATTAATTAATTATATGTGTACATCCAGACCATGTGCATTTCAAATATCAAAACTACATATGAAAATAGACAAATCGAATGTTACCAAACCATCCAAACCGTATTGGATATCAGATTTCGTCAATTCAATTTTGATCCATCAATTAAGATGGACAGATTGTCACAAATCAACTAAGCGTCACCCGCAAAAAAAAAACAGACCAACTAAGCGTTTGAAATTTGATTAGGAAAAAAATCACATTTTCTTGGGAGAAGTATGAATAATAAATCCATGCAGAAAAATATGCAGCATGCCGCTTTATTTGTAAATTCTTATCCTTTAGAAACAAAGATTTTGTCAACAAATACAAATAGACAAGTTGTTGCTATGTGTCTCCAGAAAAATAAATACATAAAAGATTGAACTATCAAATGATTCATAAAAACCAGATCAATTTCTGTCCCTACCTGCAGAGCATAGAGCTACTTTATTTTATATAAGGCACGCATGCATTTCAAGATTGAACTTTGGTCATAAGTTAGACAAACCAAATGTAAGTTATAGGTGACGAAAATTATACGATTGAATTTGTATTCGAAAGAAGTTTTTAATGGTATAGTCATGAAGTCATAAAACATATGGTATTGATGTAATTTATGGTTGAAATTAAATTTTAGAATGCGTGTGAGCCTTATTTTCGGGAATGGCAGGAGTCAAAGTCTTACCATAGTTGTTTACTCCATCCATCCTAAAATTGGTAGATGTCTGTCAATAGCACTGCAGTTAACGTTTTACAAGTTCTACTATGAGTGAGGATCTGGTAGCCATCGTGTGTGGTGCCTCATTGTTTCTGACTGGCGAATGCACATCGCCTGGCGCATGGTTAAGCACCCGATCTAGATGCAAGGATGTGCACATTAGTGTAATCAGCTGTCGCACACTCAAAATATACAGGTAACCGTATAGGGACGGATGGGCGATAGATAGCAGGAAGGTGTCAGAAGCCATGGCAGATATCATCATAGAGCACATAGCATTAATTTGCGTAGTACGGTTGCATGTTCTACAACCTTTCCCTTCCCTCCCTCCACCTGTTTGTAAGATGCAAGAGAAGATGCATTTTGCAAGAAAAAATGCAAGGGAATCTGCATTTTGCAGGAAAGTGGACCTGGTTTATTTTTACCCTTTTTTCCTCGCCCACATTTCCATGTTAAGATCCCTGTAAATTTCTTCAGAAAATCGTATAAAAATGAAGCAAGAAAACGGATGCGCTAACGCACAACGGCTTTCGCACTAGTTGCTCAATAAATCATATAAATTTTTGTGAGAAAAAAATTGCAAGAAAAAAACATATTATCGCGCCAACCATACCATATTATTGCATGAAAAAACTAATAATGTGATTTAGTACATGTCCCCTACTGTGTGTAGCTACCTTACTCCTAGCAAAAACATTGATGCTTCAGCTGCCGGTACATGACTAAGTGAGTTTAGCAGGAAGCAGTCTGATGGCGCAGTGTGCGATGGACGGTGGATGCCCGTGTGGCGCAGTATCACGGGAGCTACCCGATGTTTTGTGCAATCTTTTGTTAGGCAAAGTTCTACTATCAATCTGTAAAATTCGTACGTTTTATCACATACATAAATGTCAACAGATTTCTGTCACAAGTAGTCGACTTTACATCATCAATTAAATTTGGAATAATAGTATTAACTAGTAAGAGAGACTAGTTCAAAGATGCTAATTTCGAGGCCACCATGTGCATTTCGCAAGTCAAGAACTACAATGCTATCGAAGTGAATTGGAAGGAGAGCTACCATTAGATACAATATTTTTGATACTAAACCATTAAAGATCGGATCACGTCAACTAAGATGGCTTGCTAGTTAGATCTGGCAATTAATCTAAGTCAACACTCTCCTTCCTCCTTTAACCGAAGATTAACTCTACTCGCCTGGTAGCTAGATAGCTAGAACTAGAAGCATTTCTCAAACTGCATGCATCGAAGACCAAAACGAGTCAGAGTTCCATTTTCCGCATGCCAGGCTAGCTCATGTGCTTATAGGAACTACTACGTAGGAACACCAGTATTTAGTGTAAGAGGAGTGCTACACAGCCGACGATTTTTCGGCCAATGCATGCACGACACTAGCTAATCACTGTTAGATTAAATTCCTTCGTAAATAAGGAACTTAAGATCCTACCATCGTGCAGATGCCGTCCAGAAATGGAGCTATTCCGTTAATGTAATGCATCATGCACCTTACGGTTAGGCGAGTCACTGTCCATGTGTCGAAATCCTTATCTTTGTCATTAGTTAAGCAAGATCATACAGGATTTTCTTTTGGTAATTAGCAGTAACACATGTCTTACATACGGTATACTTACTGTTCTTTGTGTATCTTGTTTTCCCCTTTTTTGCTGTCCGGTGTTCTTCGTTATAATGGCTAAGTGACATTAAGTGCACAATGTCAAAGGATTCCCTGTGATCGCCTAGATCGATCAAATCACGTGAGGAAGTCGTAAGTCGTCGCCCGGCAGGCTCGAACTAAGCAAGATCCAAATTTTCGATGCGCTCGATTATAGAAGCTCCAGTTGCTGCATGAAAGTCCATGGATACGATCACATCTACTGTCCTAGTTGCAGCATCAAAGTCCACGGATCCGCAGATCTCCTCCGAGTACTAGTAGTAACGTGGAAGCCAATGCCATTAAGATAAAGGTATAGCTGCATGTGGCAGCTGCTTCGAGCCAGCCCTATAAATGCCCACGCGATGTCTTGTTTAGCACCATCCCACACACTCAGTACTGCACACACTGATTCATAATGTCTTGGACTAAGCTTATATCGCTTAGCCTGGTTGTCCTGTTTAGCGTTGGATTAGCCAGCGCTGGTAGGGTATCTAGATACTCTAGTTCCCAGGGAACAGGCACTGGAGGCGGAGAGGGTGGAGGAGCGGTGAACGGCGGCGGCGGAGGAAGCGGGAATGGCCAGGGAGCTGCTCAGAGTGGAAGCGGAGGAACCCATGCAAGTGCTGGAGGCGGCGGAAGCGGGGGTGGTTGGTCAGGGTATAATGGTACTGGGTATGGCGCTGGGTCCGGCAGCGGCTCAAGCTCTGGCCAGATGAGCCAAGGATCATCAAATTATGGTGGTGATGGTGGGAGTACAAGCGCAGGTGGTTCCGGTGGCGGCGGCGGTGGTGGAGAGGCCGCCGACGACGACGACGACTGCCCGGCTGACTCCGCTGGCTTTGGGACAGGTGGCGGCACCGGATCTGGATCCAGCGAGGCGAATAATGACGGTGATGCCTCCTATACAAATGCAAATGCTTCCGGTAATGGTGGCGGCGAGGGCGGTGGTAAAAATGGTGGAACCGGCGGTGGCACAGGCGGTGGAAGCGGTTACGGTGACGCAAACCCATGAAGCCTCTCCGTCCAATCAAAGCAGACCGAGAGCCCAAGCTATCGTCGTTCTCTTTTCTTTTATTTGCATTTGTTTTGTTCTTACGTTTCCATGTACTATTAGGGACAACTAATAAAGGGCTTCATTACACAAGTGTCTGTGAGTGACGCGGAGACTAGCTATTTCACTGTGAGATACCTTTGTGTATCACTCACAGCCGTGTGTCGCGCTTATTATGTCTCTTCCTTGTTCTGTGTACGACTGATCTTCCCAACATGAGTTTACTGTTCCTTGATCAGGCCAACGATTTCTGCAACTTGGTGCATGTTTCTAGACCGATCTACTGCCCCATCATTGATGAGAGCGACGATCTCCGCGCATTCAGTCTCTACCACCAATGGCGTTTGGGACCAGTGCAAGGCTAGTCAACCCTAAAGTATGAAAGATTGACTCATACTCATTTGTTGTAGGGTTTAGAAAGTTCCTTCAAGAATGAACGGGGAATAAATATTCTGAGAAATAATGCATGCACTGTTCCACTGCTAGGTTCACATATGTTTGACATAGTTAGTGGAGTTTTTAAATTTTTTGAGACCACATTGCTATCAAAGTTGAATTCCCTAATTTGCCACAAAAACAAAAAAACTTCCCAAGTTTCCCGCAACAAAAAAGGTAATCCCCCCAAGATAGAGTTACACTAAGAAAATTCACACATAGCACCAAAATTGAAAATGGAAAAACGAAATGCACTCAACATATTCATCCAATCTGAAACTACATGTTTAATCAGCGTGACTTTTAAGTCCCCGTTACACCAGATGTGTGTGCTTAGCTGTGGAATTTACATGAAAAAGGATCGTCACAATGACAAGAAGTGCCCAAACACATGTGAGCAATACCATATTACCGTGCATTCTGCTATTGATATCTACACTATTCTATACTGAATGGGAACAATGCAAAACCATCTCTCTTTCCCATACTTGTATAAGTACAGTTAAAAATAATTCAAAAGACAAACAGCAGGAACAAATACTGCACAATTTTGTTACATCCTTTCTGATTTCTTATTTTCTTTTTCCTTTATTTTTTTTATTTTTCCTTTTTCTTTGTTTTTTCTTTTTCCTTGGTTTTTCCTTTTTATTTTTCGAAAATACATGAACTTTTTTATCAAAATAAATGATTTTTTAAATCTGGTTAACATTTTTCGAATTTGTGAACTTTGTTTTTGAAAAAATCACTGAAACCTTTTTCAAATCCATGAACTATTTTAAAAAATATGGGGAACTTTTTTCAAATTCTTGAAAAAAAATTAAAAAAATTGATGAACTTTTTTCCTACCTTGTGAACTTTTTCGAAAATCTGTGAACTTTTCTCAAAATCCATGAACTTTTTTAAAAAATCATGAATTATTTTTTTGAAATTTACGTTTTCTTTTCTCAAGTAATACTGAACTCAAATAAGGGTCAAATAGCATTGTTTTCGTATAAAACAGATCAAAGTGACCGCGGTGAGATCCAAGGGACATATGTCCCCATAGACCATTGGGTGAAGATTTTTTTTCTTCGAGTTTGTTTTTTTAGCATATTGCTGGATGCAAGCGATGTTGGGCCGACCCAGTACCACTCACATTCGAACGCCAACTAGCCTACTGCTGCCTTGAAGCGCTTTCTGGCATCCTTATGTAAGCAGATGCTAAGAAATTTTGTTAACTCGGGAGATGTATTGTCTGATGGTGGCTGAGGCAGAACAGTATAACAGATACGCTCTGCGGTAGCTATCACTCCATGCCCTTCTAGTTGCTTCTTCTCGCCATAGGGATATATGCCCAAGTACAACTCTAAGACAGTTAATCCGAATGACCAAATACCCGATGCGTACACGTCCCATTCATGCCTTGTGGGTCGATCTTGCCCGAGCTAAGGTAGAAGAATGTTTGCTCTGAAGTATTGCAGGCCGTCGAGGTAAGCATGCAATCTTTACACTGTTAGCAACATCAACCAGAGTGTTGTGTGGTTTAATATCTTAATGAATAATTTTTTAGCTATGTAGATAGGCAATAACTGATAGCATCTGTTTAGCCACACAGACAAGCAAGACCTCGTCAATGATGTGTCGTCCTTTAAGAGATCCCGAGTCCATAAATTCAAGCGGAATCCTAATCTTCCATTCAGACTGATACGCATCATAATACCTCATTAGGTTTGGGTGCTTCATAGTCTGCAATATGGATATCTATTTTTATGTGATTTACCCAATGGTCTATGGGGACATATGTCCCCTGGATCTCACCATTCATTTTCGGCTTGATCTATTTCCTGCTATATGTGATATGCCTTTTCTGTTTTGTATAATTATATGTTCCTTCGTATAAGTTGCTTTCTACCCTATGTCGTAGGCGTGACCCCACAATCACGTTTAATGGTCGCTATTCCTAATGGAAGAGTTGGTAGTCTCGTCTTTCTCCGGTTAATCCTTTCCCACCATTTTTATCGCGCCAACACATTTAAACCAGATTTTACCCATGATCTATTTAAACCGATTTTATCTGTCAATAAGATCAATCAATTTTTGGTAGTATTTGGTAACTTTTATATGGAAAGGAATAAATAATGATCAATCTTTAATTAGGACTTGGTAGCCTCCTCTTCACGGTTTTGTTGGTCAAGGTTTTTTGTCTTCCGACCACCCCTCCTGCTGCAAAACCAAAAAAGACTTCCCTCGATCCACCCCCTCCGGATGGAACCCCCACACACCACGATCGCCAAACCCTACCCACCCCCTCCGGAGTGAGTTTCAAACAAGAATAACGCGCGTGTGTGTGTGAGTAACGGGGAGACTACCTATTTCACTGTGAGATGCCCTTCCGTGTATATCTCAATGTTGCTCTCACCTTTCATTCGATCCTTATTGTGTTGCTGAGATAACGCTCAACTATCTATATTTTTGTTTCCTCCATTGGACTAAATTCATTAGCAAATTCAACATTAATATATGAAGATTGACTCTGGCCAACTCATTTTTGGAGGATTTAGAAAGTTTCTTCAAATGAATAGGAAATTAGTATTGCGACAGAATGGTGATTGCACTGGTCCATTACTAGCTTCACACATGTCCTTGACACGGTTGGCGAAGTTGACTTACGAAATTCCCCACAAGAAAAGGTAACCTCCCAAGATGACGTACACAAAGAAAAATCATAGATAGCACCAAAAATGAAAAATTAAGTTATGATCACACCATCTCCAAGTATGCTAGATTGTCATAAACTAGTACCTCGACTATATAAAACAACTAATAGATTGGTCCCTGCTTAAGGATGTGGATGCCATCCACAACATCCACTCATACTACAATATTTGATCATATGACTGTCGGTTGTGTGTCTGGCCTGAAATAGGAAGTATGTTTCTGCATTACCAAATAATTCATGAGTAACCTATAAGAAAAGAGGTGGATATTTTAAATGCTTGGTCGTCTTTATGAAAATGTTGTTCCTCGGGGAAGCCTTAGGTTTTCATCACAGTGGTTAAAAAATATAAACAATTTCAGGAACCTTTTGGAACATTTATATTCTATTTTTATCGGTTTTAGAAACCCTTCACTTCCTTTCGTTGGGAGCTGGTTGTTCTCGAGGACAATGTTTTTAAGGTTGATTTCCCCACTGTGGATGATTTGCAGAGATTGCTGAGCTTTGGCTTGTGTAGAGTTCTTGGAACTAAGTGCATTCTGGAGTTTCACGAGTGGAAGAAGGTGGAGCCTAAGGGAAAGCCGCTTACGCAGGTCTGGTTGCGGTTTTCAGGGGCTCCATCTAAGCCTTTGCAGGATGTTCGAGTTGTGGCCAGTATGGGTATTATGGTTGGGAAGACGGAGAGAGTGGATATGGCTTTTACCCGTGCTCATGGGGTGGCCCGGATTTTGGTGAGTGTTCTGGATATTGAGTTCGTGCCTGATGTGGTCAACTGGACTTATAGGGGAGAGGTATTCCCGCTCGAGATCGAGTTTGAGGACACTGATCTGTTTGCTGATGCGGTTAATGGGAATGATGTTGATATGCACGAGGGTGGCGGCAGTGCGAGAGCCAAGGGGGCACCGACTGATGAGTTGACACGAGAGGGGTCTAACGGCTCTCGCCCAAATGCTCAGTTGCTCGGGGATGGGACCGGGGTTGAGCCGGCAGCCTCACCATCGGTGCCTATGACTTCGTTGTGTTTTAGGTCCCTTGAGCCAGCCTTAGCGCCTCCCAGACTTTGGAGTGGCCGGGTTTATTCTGAGGATATGTTTGAGCGCGCGCTCCCTTTGTTGGAGTTTGAGGGGGCTGGCGGATCATTGGCTGGACGCTTGGTGAGGGCCTCGTCGGCGAGGACTTTGGTTGGAGTTGGGGAGGGGTAGCCGGAGGTTGCCTCTATTTCCCTTGCTTCTCCTGTGGTCGAGGCTCCGGTGATGACGACTGCGTGTGAGCTGGGGCTTGGGGGAGGGGGTTCGGGGCAGGTGGCCTCGCCTTCTCCCCTCCCTATCCCGACGCCGGTGACGCTTGTCCTGAGGGGGTCGGCCAACGCTGGGAGAGGGAGCCCGAGGCAGGCGGCCTCGACTCTTTCTTCTCCGGTCGTGGCGACGGCGCCCGCGCCTCCAGTAGCGCTGGAGGGAGGGGGTCTGGGGCAGGTGGCCCTGGCTCCTCCTTCCTCTTCGGCGGTCAGGAGGACCGCATCTCCTACGACGACGGCGCTCCACTTTGCGCCGGCGGGTGGGGCGGGAGGAGGGCTCGGGCAGGCGGCCCCCGCCATCCTCTCTCCTGACGTGCCCGTGGCCTTGGGCCTTGGTGTGGGGCACTTGTCTGAGGGGCATGGGAGCCCGCAGCCGCCGCCTCCGGTAACGTTGGTTGATCCTTTGAGGGATTTAGCGCGAGGCTTTACTAGGGAGGAGGTCGTTGCTTTTGGCGGGATACCTGACCCGGTCTCGACGGGGAGACGGATGAGTGCTCGCATTCAGGAGCTTCCGGAGGTTGATGACATGCAGCAGCG